TATATATATATACACCAATGAATACACATGGCTATCTAATAAGGTTTTAAAATCATATTAAGCTGCACATTTCTCCATTTTTGCAAAGCACAACATTATTGGGCTTCATCATCATACAGTGTTCTGGGGTAAGAACTGCTCTTGCTTGCCCGTAGAAACCAAGTGGGTTATCCATTTAATTTTTCCAAAGGAATTTAACTGGCTGCTTTCAGCAAGAAAACAAAGCTTCACCTGTCCATTTTGATAAATAAGGTCCCTTATTTTTATTTATGGTAAAAATGACGCAAGCTCTGGTGCCATCTAGTGAATACAGGACACACTCTCACATCAGAAAAACTAGCACTGCCTGTTTATTTAATTTCTTACCAACCCTTAGATATATTGTCCTTGTAAATGTATGCGTGCTAAGTGGGTGTAATATTTGAAAATATTTTTTGCCCCTGGAAGGGAACATCACACTCCTGACAATACCTTCATCTTCCTTTCTCCTGCTGTTCACGAATTACCCAGTGTCATCATCTACTTCGTGGACTGAGATGCTGACCTATAGCTGACACAGTTATGTATATCACGGTGTCTGTACAGAAACCTTTACATTTAGCTGTGTGTACACGTCTGACACAGATCACCACTGTGATCTGCCAGAGAGTTATAGTGGTACAACAGTCCCAGTGAGTGATCACCAGAGAAGAGGAGGCTGAGGAAATGCTTTATTTTGCCTGCAGCAGGCTGATCACATCATTTAGCTTAGACAGAGTCACTTGACAGTAGCTCAAAGGCTGCTTTTTAATGATAAAAGTTACCACTTTTTTTAAGAATACTATTTCCATATACTTTGATATGTCAAGACTGATTAATGCAAACTAAAGTCATAGGTCTGCTTAAATTCAATCTAGTTTTTGTAATTGGATTGAATCCATGTAATATCTTTAATGTTTGCATTTTATAATTGCCCTCCATATTGGAAATTTTGTACATAAGGCACCATGCATTGCATTAAAAAATGTGTTTCTATTGACTCTTGAAGAAGTGCCATGTACCAACACTCAGACCCTTTTTTTTAAATAAAGACCGCCATATTGAGCCAGCATACATGCGTACAGCACATTAAAAATTCCATTACGAGTGATGCATTCTGGGATTGCATATAGTGCACGCATAGATGCTCGTATAGATGCGTATATATGCAATATACAATTTTGCTTGCGTTGTGTGTGAATGAGGCCTTACTGCCCCACTTGTATTGTATATTGCTAGCAGCACAAGGATACACCATCTGCAAAGGGGTAGATGGGACCAAATGGGAATGCAGCTGGGATTTCCCAAAATGCTAATCTGATACAGGGACACCTCTAAAATATCCATGGAAGTCTTTGTTATTGTTCTTTTTTTTTTAGCATGTTAAATTTTATTGAAAGAGTATAGTAAAGCACAATACATATAATATCTAGAATGGCATGAAACATGGATCATGTACCAGTACGCAGACTGCGATCCCTATATGTATAACGACATATTCAAACACTGTTGAAGCGAAACCTAGATCATCATAGGGTGGAACATATCAGAGCAATTCTGTATTGTGCGTAAGAACACAGAGGTAGTTACTACCATTTAACCTTAGGGCCGTGAGTGTCAGAACTCCGGGTAGGGGACCGTATCTCCATGGCGTGGGTACTCGTGGGCATCTCAGGAGGGCCTAGCCTCCGTAAGTACTTTATGTAATCTAAGAGCCATATAAAATTAGTTTGGGACTGTTAGGGATTAAGGACATCCAGTGAGCCCAGGGAGCCAGTCAATTGGGCCTCCAGATACCAGTTAGAAAATTGAAAAATGGACATCAAATCCTGCAATTGCTGCAGTGAATATTCTGCTGTAACATAAGATGTCCAAGTGTCGAAGAACTTTGTTAGTGTTCTATGTCACTGCAAATTATCATAGTAAGCTTATATTTGTTGTCCTTATAGCAAGTACATTTATAACTGAGAATACTACACCAAAAAAATCCATTCCCTTTTTTTGTTTGTTATTTTGTGGACAGATAAGAGGTAGATTGACAGAAATAGATAGATAGATAGATAGATAGATAGATAGATAGATAGATAGATAGATAGATAGATAGATAGATAGATGGTGTAATATGTGACTGGGGTCAGGCAATTAACACTTCTCAAATCCAATAATTTCCTTGCCGACATGTAGTATAAATTAACCGCTAACATTCGGCGGGCCCTTGTTCAGCTAGCCCTCCGAATAGAGTTGGCCAAAGTAAATTTTTATGCTATATACTCCGCACAAATTCATGCTAGCAGTATACAGTATATACAAAGCACAAAGAACTAGGGATTAACATTTAAACAATGTCTGGAAGAAAAAAAAAGTTGTAATCCCTTCACATTTTTCTTTTAACAGAGAAAGGATGAAGATGAATAATATTCTTGTGTCAAAAATAGTATCTCCAGTGACTGATGTCCTAGATCAGGTGTTCTTTGGAGACAGACGTATGCAGGGTACATTTTAATGCCCTCATTCACATATAATGTTCCCTGTAGATAGATGGGAGCATCACATTCTAACTGAGATGATTTTTCACAGCATGTGTAAATTTGCAATATAACAAATGTAGGTCATGGTGGCAACAAGTGATTCATAATTTAAAGAAAAGTTGATCGTATTTTTAGCTCTACAATTAAGACGAGTCAGTATAGGGTAGAGAAATGCTATTAAAATATCTTCATAAAAGCAAGCCTCCATCTAGAGTAGTGCGTGGGCAGAGGGAATACATTTTAGCTCAAGATGCATAATTGATGATGTTACACATTAGAGCAGAGTAGGAAAATCTGCAGCTCTGCATCTGTTATGGAATAACAATATTTAGTAATGTCAAGTTGGGTATTTGGGCACCTGTTGTCATTACTGACTAGAAATGTATCAGTTGTCTTATGCACGACTAGATTTCAAGTATGCAGTCTTGGTCAGATTTAATGAATGTGCCCCAATGTCCACAATACTAAGTCACGTTATTATTTTGAGTAAAAAAGTATCTCTATCTTGCCTAAAATAAAATTATTCTGCTCCTGAGCTGCCCCATGCTACCTAACGGCTGGGAAAAAGATCTCATAACCACTGGCTACCAAGAGCATTGTGAACAGGGGTGAACATAGCATTTGTACAGACTGTGCAGCTGCACAAGCACAAGGGCCCTCCGACTGTTAGGGGTTAATTCATACTACACATGGGCAAGGAAAATTATTGGATTTTGAGAAGTGTTAATTGCCTGGCCCCAGTCGCATATTACACCATAAAAGAGTTCAGTGTATCAAAAGGCAGATCTTTATCTGTATGTATAATTAAATGTAATGAAAAATTATCTATCTATCTATCTATCTATCTATCTATCTATCTATCTATCTATCTATCTATCTATCTATCTATCTATCTATCTATCTCTTATAGCAAGTACATTTATAACTGAGAATACTACACCAAAAAAATCCATTCCCTTTTTTTGTTTGTTATTTTGTGGACAGATAAGAGGTAGATTGACAGAAATAGATAGATAGATAGATAGATAGATAGATAGATAGATAGATAGATAGATAGATAGATAGATAGATAGATGGTGTAATATGTGACTGGGGTCAGGCAATTAACACTTCTCAAATCCAATAATTTCCTTGCCGACATGTAGTATAAATTAACCGCTAACATTCGGCGGGCCCTTGTTCAGCTAGCCCTCCGAATAGAGTTGGCCAAAGTAAATTTTTATGCTATATACTCCGCACAAATTCATGCTAGCAGTATACAGTATATACAAAGCACAAAGAACTAGGGATTAACATTTAAACAATGTCTGGAAGAAAAAAAAAGTTGTAATCCCTTCACATTTTTCTTTTAACAGAGAAAGGATGAAGATGAATAATATTCTTGTGTCAAAAATAGTATCTCCAGTGACTGATGTCCTAGATCAGGTGTTCTTTGGAGACAGACGTATGCAGGGTACATTTTAATGCCCTCATTCACATATAATGTTCCCTGTAGATAGATGGGAGCATCACATTCTAACTGAGATGATTTTTCACAGCATGTGTAAATTTGCAATATAACAAATGTAGGTCATGGTGGCAACAAGTGATTCATAATTTAAAGAAAAGTTGATCGTATTTTTAGCTCTACAATTAAGACGAGTCAGTATAGGGTAGAGAAATGCTATTAAAATATCTTCATAAAAGCAAGCCTCCATCTAGAGTAGTGCGTGGGCAGAGGGAATACATTTTAGCTCAAGATGCATAATTGATGATGTTACACATTAGAGCAGAGTAGGAAAATCTGCAGCTCTGCATCTGTTATGGAATAACAATATTTAGTAATGTCAAGTTGGGTATTTGGGCACCTGTTGTCATTACTGACTAGAAATGTATCAGTTGTCTTATGCACGACTAGATTTCAAGTATGCAGTCTTGGTCAGATTTAATGAATGTGCCCCAATGTCCACAATACTAAGTCACGTTATTATTTTGAGTAAAAAAGTATCTCTATCTTGCCTAAAATAAAATTATTCTGCTCCTGAGCTGCCCCATGCTACCTAACGGCTGGGAAAAAGATCTCATAACCACTGGCTACCAAGAGCATTGTGAACAGGGGTGAACATAGCATTTGTACAGACTGTGCAGCTGCACAAGCACAAGGGCCCTCCGACTGTTAGGGGTTAATTCATACTACACATGGGCAAGGAAAATTATTGGATTTTGAGAAGTGTTAATTGCCTGGCCCCAGTCGCATATTACACCATAAAAGAGTTCAGTGTATCAAAAGGCAGATCTTTATCTGTATGTATAATTAAATGTAATGAAAAATTATCTATCTATCTATCTATCTATCTATCTATCTATCTATCTATCTATCTATCTATCTATCTATCTATCTATCTATCTATCCTGTCTATCTACACTGTCTATCTACACTATCTAACTGCAGTATCTATCTATCTATGCACAGAGATTGCTGTGTACGTTAAATGTCGGAATTTGGATCCGAAATGTTTGTTTTCGGAATTTGGATCTATTTTAACCTATCGGATTGAGTTTCAGTTGTTTTTAAACATAAAAATTGAAGGAAAAAAACAGTGTGGGGCCCCCCTCCCAAATGCCTATCAGATCCTTTAGGTCCCCCCTAGACACCATTAAGCAGCACCTTGTCCCCACATTGATGAGGACAAGGGCCTCTTCCCCACAACCATGGCCTGGTGGATGTGGGGGTCTACAGACAGAGGTCTTATCTGAATCTGGGTGCCCCTTTTCATACAGTCATACAGTAATAAATTAGTTCAGGTAATGACACATCACAATTTAAATATGAGCTTGTTTTGGTATACAGTATGTGCCTGGAGTTGTGTTTAGGATATTTTATATGGGAATTGAAATAGTAGGCCTAGGGGTGTTCAGTGATCATTTGTAGAAGACCAAAGACAGGTAAAACAGTCATTGGTGGTCAGATTATCAGTTCATTTTATTTACAGATCTGCCTGTGTTAAAATAAATCCCTATGTGCTCAAACCCACCATAAATTTTCCTTCAAAGTTTTCAGCGTGTTTGCAATGGAGAATTGTACCTCAGCCCATTCACTTCCTCTAGCAGTCACTGACTGGTCACTCCTAGCAGTCATCTAGTTACTTCAATCACTTGTCACAACAGGGGTTTACATGTGCAGACAAAATTTCTGTTTAGTGCTAGTCAAAGCCAGTCTACCTCTTTCTTTATTTCTTCCTCATCTTCCAGTGTCAGAGCCGCCAGCTGTCTCGATCTTTGTTCCATCAAATTCACGTATCTAATTGGATTCGATAAAGCTTCAATTACATCTACAAAAAATAAAAACATTAAAAAAAACATTATCTGGTGCCTATATTTGTGGTTCTTACAACAATTTAAAGGATAGTAAAACAAGTTTTAACAAGTAAAACAAGTAATTTTTTTTATTTTAAAAAGGACTAAGGATTTCTAAAGGGTCACACAACTCTGTGTTTTTTTCACAACTCTCAAATTTTGTTCAATACGTAAGAAGCTTCAATGATTAGCCATAACATTATGACCACTGACAGGTGAAGTGATTAACATTGATTATCTTGTTACAATGATACATTGAAGTGGGTGGGATATATTAGGCAGCAAGTGAACATTTTGTCCCTGAAGTTGATGTGTTGGAAGCAGAAAAAATGGGCAAGTGTAAGGATTTCAGCAACTTTGACAAGAGTCAAATTGTGATGGCTAGACAACTGGGTCTGAGCAACTCCAAATGTGCCCAGTCTGTACCAAAAGTGGTCCAAGGAAGGAAAAATGGTGAACCGGTGACAGGTCCATGGGCGGCAAAGGCTCACTAGGGAGCGAGCCCTAGTCTGTGTAGTCCAATTGAATAGAAGAGCTAGTGTAGCTTACATTACTGAAAAAGTTAATGCTGGTTCCAATCGAAAGGTGTGTGAAGACACAATGCATTGCAGTTTGTTGTGTATGTGGCTGTGTAGCTGCAGACGGGTCAGGGTGCACATGCTGAGCCATGTCCGCCACCAAAAGCACCTAAAATGGGCACGTGATCATCATAACTGGACCACAGAGCAATGGAAGAAGGTGGCATGGTCAGATCAATCATGTTTTCTTTTTCATCATGTGGTTTCTGGGTGCGTGTGTATGTTGCTTACCTGGGAAGAGCTGGCACTGGGATGCACTATGGGAAGAAGGCATGATGGTGAAAACAGTGTGATGCTTTGGACAATGTTCTGCTGGGAAACCTTGGGTCCTGCCATTCATGTGGATGTTACTTTGACATTTACTACCTACCTAAACATTGTTGCTGATCAAGTACACCCCTTAAGGAAAATGGTATTCCCTGATAGCAGTGGCCTCTTAGTAGTGTGCCCTGCCACACTGAAAAAATGGTTCACAAATGATTTGAGGAACACAATCAGGAGTTTGAGGTGTTTACTTGACCTCCAAATTCTCCAGATCTCAATCCAATCGAGCACCTGTGGGATGTGCTGGAAAAACAAGTCCACGATCCATGGAAGCCTCACCTTGCAACTTACTGGACTTAAAAGGATCTTTTACTGATGGCTTGGTGCCAGATACCACAGCATATCCTCAGAGGTCTAATGGAGTCCATGCCTCAATGGGTCAGTGCTGTTTTGGTTGCAAAAGGGGGACCTACTCAATAGTAGGCGGGTGGTTATAATGTAATAGTGGATCATATGTTGTGGCACCTTGATGTATGCTGGCTGGATTTCCTACTTTCAGCTGACAGACAATAAAACTGGCTTTCTGATGAAGGACTGCCAAGTTTACTACCACGATCCATGGAGGCCTCACCTTGCAACTTACTGGACTTAAAAGGATCTTTTACTGATGGCTTGGTGCCAGATACCACAGCATATCCTCAGAGGTCTAGTGGAGTCCATGCCTCAATGGGTCAGTGCTGTTTTGGTTGCAAAAGGGGGACCTACTCAATAGTAGGCGGGTGGTTATAATGTAATAGTGGATCATATGTTGTGGCACCTTGATGTATGCTGGCTGGATTTCCTACTTTCAGCTGACAGACAATAAAACTGGCTTTCTGATGAAGGACTGCCAAGTTTACAGCACAATTTTGTGATAAACCTAAATTTAGTTATCATACAATATAATTATATAAATGTATAACTATGTTTGTGTATATACAGGTATGAGGGTGACATAACCATATTGTCTGAAGTTTTATAAACAAGAGATCTCCAGGTTTTTTGTTTAAATAAGTTGTATTCACTGCATTACCAAAATCTAGTTTTGTGTACTGTGATATCAAAAATGTAATGGCAGTCAGACCTTTCTTTTTATATTGTACACACTGGTGCCCATGTAACGAGTTAATCAATGGTATTCACTTCACCTTTCAGTGGTCATAATGTTATGGCCGATTGGTGTGTGTATATATACAGAATATTTATATATACAGATGTGGCTAGAAACAAAGCATTGCACTTTTATGAAGTGATCTTCTATGAGCTCTGATTTGAATCCTATTTGACATCTATAGAAAAAGTAGAAACATGCAGTTTCAAGTTATTTCAAAGAAAATTGTAAGTTTTTTTTTGTGGAAGGGTACCAAAAATTGTTTCCATATTTGTATAATATGTATACTCTATATGTCAACATACAAAGAGTTTTCGCAGACAAATGAGTACAACTCTATTTTTAGGCGCATCAATTTGATTATAAGTGGTGCAGACATGCACATCAAAAAGTCAATATAAGGAGTGTTCATGAGCATCTGAAGAAACTCTGAGCTACTGCTGCCACCCACTGGTGAAATTATATATGGGCCCAATGGAAGAATATTCAAAAGATAAAAAGAATTCTAGAAAAAGATAAAAAACAAGCATTTACTATTAGGGATGCACGGATAACAATACTAGTATAGGTGCCGATACTGGGTATTTTCACGAGTACTTGTACTCGTGAAAATGCCCTGATACTAAGCGTTGATACTGGTGCTTTACATTTTTTAATAGATTTGGCTGTCGGAAGTCCTGTGCGTCCTGGGGACCTCAGGTAGTCTTGTAGGGACCTTGCGGCGGCTGTCTTTGACAGGGCTGGTCCGGCCGCACATCTCCTCCTCCTCCTTCCCGCTGCCCGCAGAGACTGGCACAGCACAGGAGAGCCCCAAACCTGCCCGTACAGCCCTTGAGAGCTCCACACCGCCCAAACAGCCCTGGAGAGCCTCACACCAGCTGGTACAGCCCTGGAAAGCCTCACACCAGCTGGTACAGCCCTGGAAAGCCTCACACCAGCTGTACAGCCCTGGAGAGACCCACATGCATCCCTGGAGAAACCCAAACGCAGCCCTGGGGAGATCCAAATGCAGTTCTGGTTAGACCTGCATGCAGCCCTGTTGACACCCAAACGCAGTGCTGGTGAGACCCGAATGCATCCCTGTTGAGATCCGAACACAGCCCTGGTTAAACCCACTTGCAGCCCTGGTGAGACCCAAACACAGCCCTGGTGAGACCCGCACACAGCCCTGGTGAGACCCGCATGCAGCCCTGGTGAGACTGCGCACAGCCCTGGTGAGACCCACACGCAACCTTGGTGAGACCTCACACATCCTCTCATACAGCTCTGGTGAGACTCTGAACATCCTCCTGAGACCCTGCAAAGCCCTGGTGAGACCACACACATCCTCCTGAGACCCCTCACACAGCTATGGTGAGAATCTGAACATCCTCCTGAGACCCTGCACAGCCCTAGTGAGACCCTGCACAGTCCTGGTAAAAAAGCACAAAGACCTAGAGAGACCCTGTACAGCCCTGGTGAGACCCCACACATCCTCCTGAGACCGTGCACAACCCTGGTCACAGCCCACACGGCTTCCTAAGACCCCATTACAGCTCTGGAGAGACCCTGCACAGCCCTGGTCAGACCCTCCCCCTCCCCCCCCCCCCCCAGCCTCCTAAGACGCAGCACGGGCCTGGTGGGCAACACAGAGTATGCAACTTCACAATATTCTGCATAGCTGTATAATATATTGCTGGGAATTTTAGTCCTCTATAGCTAATGATATTTGCATTGCTGTATAATGTATTGCTGGGATTTGTAGTCCTCTATTGCTGGTGGTATTCTGGATTGCTGTATAATAGATTGCTGGGATTTGTAGTCTCCATAGTTGGTGGTATACTGCATTGCTGTAAAATGGATTGCTGGGATTTGTAGTCCTCCGTAGTTGGTGGTATTCTGCATTGCTGTATAATAGATTTCTGGGATTTGTAGTCCTCTATAGCTGATGGTATTCTGCACTGCTGTATAATAGATTACTGGGATTTGTAGTCCCTCTACAGCTTGGAGACAGTGGCAGAACTACCAGGGTCGCAGCAGCTGCAGCTGTGACTGGGCCCCCCGGTGTTCCCCCACTGTCCTAAAATCATTAGTCTGTATTGTATTAGAAAAAAAGTCACATGTCACTTTTAAAAAAGTATCGGTAACTGGTATCGGCGAGTACTTGAGGAACAGTACTTGGTCTTGAAAAAAATGGAATCAGTGCATCCCTAGTTACTATACCTGCAAATGTATCAGGGACGTAATCTTTCACATCTATGTAGACAAAGATGGCTGGCAGTGTCAGTGGTACATTCTTCTCGTTTCGTAGAGAGATGTAGTGATAACCTGGGAAGAAAACAATATATTTTTATTTTGAAATAATATAGTTATGCCTAGAGAGGTTTGCACCTTTTTAATACAACAGGCCAAAGAGCAGAATGATCAGATTCAGTTCACTTTATACCAGTAAACGATGGATTTCAGTAGCCTGTTTATCTATAGAAGAAAGGTCGGCAGAGGTTACACTATGCTTTCTTGGCCCCCGAGCAGTGATGACATATTGCTCTAATACTACCATTGAGTATAGTAAAATGACTGCACCCAATGATATTGCACTACACCCTTGTATAAGAAGCAATTTTGAAGAGGATATAGTAGGGCTTTGAAGGTGCAAAAATGAACAGTACATACATCTAAGATAAAAATTATCATCATTTTATTGTACACATTTTAAAATTGCATAAGCATAAAAAGTGATAATCTCGTTGTCCCAACCACATTGTTCTAACATGGACCCCCCAAGAAAAGGTAGAAACACCTGATACCTAGTTAATTGTTATTTTTGGCACAGCAATATTTATTTAATTGTTGTTGATGTACTTTGTCTGTATTTGCTTCTTGTAGCTTTTTTTTTTTTAAGCAAGTCTTTCTTTGTTAGGTTTTACAGAATACATTGCATTTGACATTTAACATAACATGTATTTAGTTGTATTATCCTGTAGCCAGCCGGCCACACGATACATGCAAGCTATTCTGTTATTTTCTTCTTGAAAACAAGTAAAACATGTAACTCTTCATAAACATTTCAAGATATTGAATACATTTCTCCGTCGTTGCCAGAACCTAGAGAAAACATCAGTCATAAACGAGAGCATGGGGAAATGTTATGAGACGAGGGGTGAAAGGAGGGGGGGGCGTCTTCTATCCAATAACTGGTTATCCGTGATTAACCGCAAGGTGTGTGAGTCAAGATGTTATGGAGAGGGTAGTATGATGGGGTTGGGAAGAGAATGGAGAGAGGACGGTATTATCTGATTAAACTGCAGATTTATTGATTGTCGTTGCAAAGGTATGAAGGGAGAATGAGGGGATGCGGGTTTGGGGGGGGAGAGTGGGGGTTTAAAAGATCTATAAAGCGTTTTACACTTTATTGCACTGCGATGGATGCCTATTGGCGAGTATACGTGGGTACACCAGATTATGTGTGGTAGTCTAAGAAAGGATAGTGAAGTGAAGTTATGAAGTTATCCGAGATGAACCAGAATGTGATCGGAGTTCACTGAGAAGGAACATAGATACCGTACCTGTATCACCTTATGAGTTCGTGTGTGTGTGCCCTCCCTCGATGTTGTGCGAAGCTTCTTGTAGCTTTTAAACAATATCTCAAGTTTGTCAACCCTTCCAGTCCCTGATGAAGCCCATAAGGGTGAAGCACGTTGAAAACCTCATGGACACCCCATAACAATGATTTACACAATGGAGTATATATAATGATTGTAACAAGCAATTGTTGATTCTATAACTAGGTATCAGGTGTTTCTACCATGCCTTGGGGGGTACATGTTAAGACAATGGGGTCTATTCACAAAGCTGCCGAAGGATCTGGCCGTAGCTTCGGCCGATCCTTCGGCTGGACAATGAGATGATCAATTGGTATGCTTATGCAATTTTAAGATTGTACAATAAAATTGTGATCATTTTTATCCTAACTGTAAATGCTGTTCATTTTTGCACCTTCAAAGCCTTGCTATATCCTCGTCCAAAGTGATACTGCCATTGTCACAGGCTATGCTCATCTGAATGCACTCATATTGTATGTAGGAAGGCGTATTGCAGTAGTGACTGAAAACATCCTAAATTAGGGGCATTATATGGCTGCTATCCTCCTCAGTGGTGCAACACAACTGTGCTGCATTAAAGTAGAGCCTTACTAATCCCTTAGGTACTGACAGGGGCCAGGGGCCAAGAAGGGCAATATTGTTCCTAAAATTAATTATGAACCCCCTTCCATATCTTTCAAATGGCACAGCCTACTACTTCTACTATAGTAAGAGAGCCCAGCCAATAAAAATATAATGGGTCCACTCTGGGTCCTGCACACACATGTGAAGGTCAGAATAGCTGATCCTTTTTATAAGCAGAGAGCATGTGACCAAGTGTCTAGACCTTCAGGCATGTGATCAGCACTGAAAGGAGCAATCATTTCTACAGAAAATACTTTTAACATAACATTTGAATAGAGGTCCATTTTATGTAAGCAATGAGTTAAGGTTTCAGGAAGTGTTAGCATTACAGGGAGAGATAGTGTGAGGGTTTGGGTTACATGGAGGCATATTTTGAGGGGTTAGTTTTAGGATTACAGGAAGGATTCATGTTAAGGTTACATGAAGGAATAGTGTGATTAGTAATGTTAGGGTTACCGGTACGGGTACCATTGTGATTATAGGGATATTTTATTATAGGGATGTTTTAGGGTTACAGGGAGTGTTTGTGCTTGGGCTATGGGGATGGATAATGTTAGGGTTACTAAGAAACATTAGTGTTAGGGTTACAAGGAGGGTTAGAGTGAGAAGGGCCTTAGTATATGATTCTAAAAACTAATCGTGCCAAAAGCTAGCATGCCATACTCAGATCACTTCAAATACTGCCACTACACAATGAGGGGAATTCATCAAAACTAGAACAAACAGAATCTGGAGCAGTTGCCCATGGCAACCAATCAACTTTTAGCTTCTAGCAAAGCTTAACTGAACAAATTGAAGATAGAGACTGATTGGTTGCCATGCACAGCTGCTCCAGATTTTGTCCGCTCCAGTTTTGATTAGTGAGTTTAATATGATAATATTAATATATCACATTTATTACTTCCATGATCGAATTCTAGTTGGAATTAATAGCCTTACAAGAACACTATTGAAAACTCTCTGGTCATCCTGGGCCTATATACAACTGCTATATGATAGGTTATATAACCTGGTACTATCCCACAAGGCCTCTGGACTGGAGTTTCTTCTTACTATGGTACACAAACTACAAGAAATAAGTTTACATTATCTCAGAGGTAATTCTGCCTGCCAAAATGAGGGTTTAGACTCAGAATAAAAGTATTTCCAAACAATACATTTTCTAGGATGTTGTATCCACTGCTTATGTATCATGTGTTTTCTATGACTTGTACTTGTACAAGTGCTTTTTATAGGCCCCCTGCTGTTTTGCAAAAAAAAACAAACACAAGTACACAACACACTCATGTTTAATATCTCTAAAGGAAGACATTGGATATGACAAATAAAGAAACCACACCTGGCTTAGCTATGCAGTGGGAGATATCACTAAAATATGGCATGGGAAGTTTTTCGGGCATTGCTTGTAAACTTCCTAAAGTAACCCCTCATAGGAGAACATAGGACCACATGCAAAGATGTTTCTGAAGAATGAAATGTTGTCTACAGTAAGCAGTCAGCTTCTCCTTTTCAAACTGTGCTAGAAATAGGAAAGGAAGAACCTGGTTTCTTCTGGCAACAGGTTTTTATTTCTTTAAAAAGATGAGTTACCCAATAAATTTACCAAATTCATTATTCCAAATTTCATTTTCATAAGTTACCACATAAAATGAAAATTTTTAAGCCTGACTTTGCAGCACCCAGAAAAAGCAGTAAAGTTTATTTAGCCTTGTGATCAATGTAAAATCTACCGATATAAAGAGCCTACCTGGCCGAATTGCAGAGACTGGCAGTATCCGATGACCTATGAACTTTCCTCCTTCTTCATAGGCTGCTATTCTGAGACTAGCCAGAGATGGTAGCACTACCTGATTCCAAAGAAAACAAACAGATATCATGATTGTAAAGTAAGTGGAACCATTGTGGCTGTAATGTATTCATGGATTTCATAAGCAAAACATGAAAATGGCCTCAACAGATTGTTAATGTGAACCTTTACACCCTTTGACTAAAAATCACATCAGCATTCAGCTCTGCATGCTGATATGAAATGATGTTACATTCATTAGGTAAACAAACATATTTACATTTTACTTACAATTTATTGCTTTATACTTCCTGGTTCTCTTTGGCAAAAGTGATGTAATGTGCCCAAGTATTGCATCCTGGGAAGGCTACATCAGCAGAGCATTGCTGGGAAATCTAATCTGTAATCTCATGAGATCTCAGGGAAAGGCATTTTCACTACAAATATCGGCCATGACTTGCCGCTAAGTAATGGAACAACCATGGTGTACACTTCATTAATGTAGAGCTAAGATTAATCACATGATGTGAAATGCTGCAATATTTCTCATTAATTGCACGTTGCTATGCTAATGTGGATTGTGCATATTGATTTACTCCTTAGTGTTCCTTCAGCCCACTTGAGACTCACGCACAGCCCACCTGAGACTCCACGAAGGCTTGAAATCACTCAATTTTCTCCTCCATGACAGATTAGAAGGGGCAATGCCTTTAAAATTGAAGCAAGCCCAGTAGTGGCTCCTAAATTACCAAAGCAGCACTGGATAATGAGGTGATTTGAAGGTGGATCAAGAAGGGAAAACATAGGCAAGGGAACAGTTTGTCTAGAATGACTCTAGAGCATTGAACTATGGATAGATTTGGGGGAGCGCTAATAAAAGACTTTCCCCCGGGCGCCTGATTTTTTACACAAATAGAGCTTTCTTTTGGTGCTATTTGATTGCCGTTGATTTTTTTAATTTCATTTTTTAATGACTATTTAAATGAAAAAAGACCAAAAATTGTGGGGGAAAAATATTTTAAACTTTTTGTTATACAAAATATCAAATAAAATCAAATTTCTTCCTAAAGTTAGGCCAAAATGTATTCTGCTAAATGTTTTTGGTAAAAACAAAATCCCATAAAGTATATACTAAGCTGTTTGTGTGAATTGGTACCAATTATAAGTGGTACCACATGGTTTTTATCCATATGGTGTCAAACAGCAAAATCGGTATTGCTCGGGGTAAAGGATTGGTTTAGGAATGATATTGCCGGTATATTTTTTTCAAACCTTTGTGTGTCTGCTACATAAAATCTTATAATTTGAGGAAGCTGAACCCCCCCCAGGAAAATTTTTTATCTACGGCCCTGTCCTTTACACATCATTCTTGGCTAATAAAGAAGCCACTGAGTAAATGTTGACTGTTTAGCAAAGCTCTTAAATTAAATGTCACTAAACATTTATAAATAAATCTCTTAAATTGAAATGTTAGTTTAACCTTCTTGAAGACAATAGGTTCCTCTTCCCATACTGGGTTCACAGCATTGCCTTGTGATGTCTTCGTCTTGAATGCTTTTCGCCTGGTATCAACGGGTAAGCCAAACATGTCTACTTCCACATAGGTTCCAACCTTTTTATCTGAAAGGAACTGCCCTGAAATTATCTACAAAAAAAGAAACATAGAGTTCCTTGAATAAACTTGCAATGATGTACTGTACTATATACTACATATATAAATGAAAAGACTGTTAGAACGGCTACTGAGTTAAATATATGACAGCAATACAACGTCCTACTTGTAGACATGTGGTTAAAACATCAAAACTGCATACATTACCTTAACAGACACTGTGTTTGCCACTATTCCATCCACTGTGGTCTCTGTAAATGGATCAAACTGCTTATCTTGCCTTCTCATAAACTCTGGCTTCAGCCTGTATCCACATTTACCATTATATTCATACATTCCCATATTTAGCTGCATAGAAAAATCTGTAAGCAAATGATGGCACATTATTAATGCAGTAAATCAACCCATGATAAAGCCACTTCCAATTCAAGGCAGCAATAATATGTATTAAGCCATATGTAAGGATGACAGCTTTTGAGTATGTACTTTCAAGAACAAATAAGCAATGGCAGCTTCTATATTTCTATCCTAACAAATTGCATTCGATGACATTAAGGGGCAGAGGACAACACAGGCCTCTCTCATAACAGAGTAATGGGTTTGATAACTGTAAAGTGCAAGGAGCAAAGTGCTAGTTCAAGTATCCAAAGCAAAGCAAACCAGATGTAAAACTGGGAGCATTCTGTTTTGGGTGACTGCCCCTTGTACTTTAGAACAAAATCTGGGGCTGCACTTGGAATGTGCTATCAAGTGTATTTCTGCCATTTGTTTTTTTGGGGGTGAAATAAAGCAAGCTCCAGTACTCCTACAGGTCATTATGTGGTCAGTAACTGGCTGCAGTCAAATCATCTCACAATTCATGCTGGTACTGTCCTTCCTTCTGGAGGGTGGCTACTTTTGTTCCCCATGGTCCCTGTGTGCGTTGTAAAGTAGCTACCGCTCCAAGCTCGCTCCCGTGATGGGCAACAAGCTCACTTTAGTTTACTAATTTGTATTAAAATTATAGTCTATCACTGGAGTGAGCTTGGAGCGGGGGCTACTTTATAACACACACAAGGCCCATGGGGAACAAAAGAAGCCACCCTCCAAAAGGAAGGACAGTGCTAGCACATATTCGGAGATGATATGAGTATCCGCAGTTGAGTGATACACAAAAAAGATACATTTTTGTTAATAGTCAAGGTACTTGAATGGATTTTTCCTGAGTTTAATGTCACTTTAAACCCCTAATTGGGTTGAATAAAAGACTGGAGTTCTCCATGCCAAGATCATGGACAGCAATGAAAACCATGTCAGGGACTGAAACTTGCTTTACTTACCCCGATAGCTAAACTATACAATGTGATTAGTTAAAGTGTCAAAATATGACCTTGTAGAGTGCAACCAGAACTCCAAGAACTTCAAATTTCTGGGTATGAGAAAAACAGACAAACACTTTCCACATAGTTGTGCTTGGCACCAGACCTATTGCCAGGCCCCAGCACTACTATGTGGGCGTGGAGACCATGCCCATGCAAATAATGGCCTTTCAGCAGGTCAAATCGATATTTAGGAGAAAACTTCAAAAGGACTCCAGAAGCCCTCTGGGAACCCACATTTTCACTATATCCATGATATGGGACCATATAGCCCATGCTATGTAACTGCATCTTCTTTTTTTTATTACATACATAACTGTTTGGTTTTCTTCAATACTTTTCTAAATAACATTAAAATAGCGTTGTTTAAAGACAGATAAGAATACACCATTGACATGGTTGACCCAAAACCACACAAAATACATTACAATCATGTCAGTGGGATCTAGCGCTGTTTCGTGCTGCAGCGGATGTTTTGTTTATAGGGTGAAGTCATGCAGAGTGCAATCTTCACAAATTACTTGTTTATAAATTATTTAAACAAAAGCTTCTTAAATCTAGGTCAAATGGTAAATTAGAGCACAGCAAGCATAGTAATTAATGATGTGTATTACTGCATTGACTAATATATATCACATAATATGTAATATTTTCCTTTTTTGTAGTGTGTTTTTTTAAATAAAGAAGATAATTTCTATTTAATTTATTTGCCAGAGTCATAACCCATTAACTACGTCCTTTCTTTTCTCTTGTATAGCATGACTGTCTCTTAGCTGTCACTTAATGTGCACACATCTGCAAGTTTGTGAAGCGAAGTGTTATAATGCAGATTATGAAAGTGTTGGATCTACACTGGCCCTCTTCTAACATGCAGACACATATGAGGTATTGAACAATAACTTTTTCAAATAGATTTTTTAAAGTGTGTATATAAAGTCCAAACTTTTTTGGGGGGATACAATGTGTGTTCCTGCTGGGCAAATGTACTCTTTTTGTCTGTCCTAGTCACCCCTTTAACAGGAATGAAAGTAAGGGGACATCCTAAATGTTTTAATTGGTACAGGAACAGGCATTGAAATGAATGGATCCAACGAGGACACCTTTTAAGGGTTTCTCTCACTTTGGAGTAATTTCCTCTTACTTTCTGTTGTAGCTATCGGACAGGAAGTGATGGAAAAATACCCCCAATGGAAGACATATGACAAATTAAATCTGGCAGGGGTTTTAATTCCTTATATACTATCTCCAAAACTAATACAAACAATTTTGGCTTTTAATTTACTTTAAATGGGGTGGTGGAGCAAATCTGGAAATTAGAAGACATTGTAAGCGTATGCACTGTCTGCAGGAGTGCCTGTTTGCACAGTACATCTACCTGTATGGGAATAACAACAGACATACATTTTTTCTAACACAGCAGCATGGTCTGTGAAATACCATATAAGAAAAGTAATTTTTTTAAATAACCAGAATCTTAGATCACTTAAAATAAATCTTAGAACCCCCCCTTCCCAAAAAACGTGTTACAATAGTATTTCATTTTAAAATGTGCAGGTTGGTTATGTGTTTTATATTGAGCACTTTTATAATTGTGAATATAAATATGAGGATTCACAATCCTGTAGATTGTTAATCAGTACCTGGCTACACCTACTCCTGCCCACTGCTTTCTGGACTGACCGCACTGCCTCTGTTACTGAAACCCTCCTACTATGAGCTGCAGTGTCTGGGAGGAGAGGCTTAGTCAGGGAAGGTGAAATACATCTTTGGTTTACTTTATGAGCCTTGTGTTTTACAAAGTAATTGGATTTGGGACTTGTTCAGGCTGTCATACAGGAAGCATTAGTTGTACTTTACTTCCCTGGAGGTGCCTGTAGGGATGTGGTCAAACCACAGGGTGACTAGTTGTTGCATTTAATGTCCTTACCTATAGTCTGAAAGTTAAGAGCCACCATCTGACATCCAGCATTCCAGAAAACCTGAGGCATGTAATTTGATGAATCCACACGTGTCCCTTTTGGATAAATTCGACTCAGCTGCATTTTGTTATATCTGTCTTTGGTTAAGAAATCTTTAAAAGTACACACAGAAAGCACAGACTAATGCTGGCCAAACACAGAATTAAATAGCAATAAAATTGAATGGATCCAGGCAACCTAAATTATATGGCAGCGATGTCGGTAGGTCGTCTTGATGCATTTGATTTGTTTTGTTTGTGCAGGGGTAGTGAATAAAAATTCAAGGAGGTCCGGTGAGTAAAATTTTCATCAAGCTGATGTCTGAATCACGGGTCCGGACAGAACTGTCACTCAGTCACTGTCTTTACGCAGATTAACGCAACACATTGGTGTGAACAAGCCCTCCAAGTGCCCCTTTATACTACTTCTTAGTAGCTTAGTTATACAAACTAAGAAACACAATAAAATGTGACTTTGCTGATACCCAAGCATGCCAATCTCACATAAAAACAAAACATTACTTTTATTTGATATTTTTGATAGGTTGAACTGGATGGACCCTTGTCTTTATTCCAGCTGCGGGCAGGAAAATGATAGAAGGCAATACTCTTCCATCCTCCTTTATGCTGCAGGGAACAGAATTATGTCTTTGGTTTCTAGGAAGACCCAATGACTGGAGAGGAGGGAAGACCAAGCACAGGTTGGGGACCACTGTTTTAGAGACTAAGAGCTAGTTGACAGTGGTCCAAATAGCTAGAAAATTGCCCACGTGAAAACTCACCTCTACTTTCTACAACGATTAGCATTATTTTTAACTGGTCACATAAAATATACCTATGCAATTTTAAGATTATAAATGTTATCAGCAATGCCCAATTGCTGTCAACACTGTTTGGGATTTCAGTGCAAAAAAATACATTGGGCCCAGATAGTGGGCCCACTACAATGCTGGAAGTACTTTATTGGTGACACATGGGGGGTGATTTACTAACCTAAACACACGCACGCACTAGGTGCGTGTGATTTTTACACAGCAAAACGTATTTATCAACCAAAAAGTCTCTAAAAGCATATCTCCACTAATGCCATATATGGAAAAATCATGCACATGATGCATATATAATGCTGCTTCACAGTTTAGACAAAAATGGTTAGCTCATGCATTTACATTCCTGCATTCATCAACGCAAGCAACACAATGTAGAGCTAATTTACACAACATCACCTTGCAATTCATGCAGGGCTTTGCACAACACACCTGCTGGGTGTGTACACACTACAAAGGTGTCTAGATTCCACCAATAGATCATGCTGGGAGGGAACACACTACAGAGGTGTATACTTGTTCGTGGCGTGTTTATAAGGTTAGTAAATCAACCCCATGCTGTCAGTCCTGTGCTACATGAAAAAGTTGCAAAGATAATGTAGAACCAAAGGATACTCTACAAATTCTACGGGGGATTTAGTTAGCTGCTCAAGTCCCTTGGTTTCCACAAAGGAGGACATTTCATAGCTTTTGTTTCTTTCTGCAAGAATAAAGTAAGAAAGCATCAATCTTAGTAATCATCAAGACATATACAGTACATTACTTTTGCTTATTAAACAGACCAATGATGATGCACACTCTTCCTTCTGTAAGCTCAGCTATCTCCCCGCCTATCATCTTACACAGTAGACACTTCTACAAAAAACCTGATTTCATATTTCAAATAACTGAATATACCAAACACATTTTGGATATATTAAATGGTTAGATCTTCTGATGTATTTTCAGAAGACCAAAGTGAAAATAAACGACACAGCGCCCAATAAGGTGTTTCTTCATATCCACGTAGCAGGAGGAGGCTGCTGTCTTCGAGGCCACCAGGAAGCATCCTCACACATCATGAAAAACAAGAAAAGAGGGGACAACACCCACCCCTAGTGTAAAAACCTTTTTAATAGAAAATGGAGTGCAAGTAATCTGACATGTAACTACTCACATTTGGATGAACAATTGATAGCACACATATAACAAGAGGCGACCAAAAGGCTGATGCGTTTCGGGGGAGATTCCCCCTTCCTCAGAGCTAGTTTACACACTAGCCAGAGTTCCCATAATTTACTAGTTGCCATTCAATATTCAGAGTAGTGAACTTGTAACAACTCCTAAGAATAGAGGTCATTTAGGAGGACAAACTATATTAAAAGCATGGGAGATCCTATCTGGTTGACCATCCCTGTGTAGAGCCTCTTCTACAAATGTTTCTACTCCTCGCAGCTTCTGTTAGATGCAGAGCCATTGGTATTAAAAACTGCCTACCATGCATTATTGCTAGATTATAACAGCGTCCAGCAAAACCTGTTCTAAGAGCTGGGTGCTATATCATTCTGTCATAAAGGGACACTGCCTATCAAGAGATTAATCTTCTAGGAATGCTCAGAGACTGAACAATGCCATAATTATTTTACACATAGACTGAATCTTAGCCAACATATTTCTTGTGTCACACAGTGACAGGTAGCAGGAATAGGTCCTCTCTGCTGGCTTTTAAAAGTCAATGTAACCTAGACAGAAAACAGAGACAACCTAAAATGTTAATATTCCGTTAAACATTCCATTGAGTCATCGTTTTAAAGGAAATAGGAGGCTTTATCTGCTGCAAGAAATTGTTATTCTTTTGTACGGCAGCTCTTCAAGATAGAAACAATCAGCAGTTTGGGCAGCAGGGCATGTAAGTAATAAAGTGTATATTCAGCCAAAAATGTTTTTTTATAGGGTGGGGAAGGATTAAAATGCCTGTCAGGTTTTTACTGCTATCAGGAGATCTGTTAGAGAGAGTTGTTCTCACCTTCTGTCTTACTGACAATGGTTTTACCAGATTGGAAAAATGAGGGAGAGCAATGCAGAAAATGCTTTTATTTTAGTAGAAAATGAGAAGGCTAGAACCCTGTCAGGTTTTTTTTTTTTTACTCTCTGAGTCCCTGTTGCAGATTTTACCTCACTTCCTGTCTGTTAAAACCATTATCAGTAGGACAGGAAGTAAGGGTAAATCTTTACAACAAAACCCCGGATAGCAGTAAAACCTGACAGGGGTACTAATCATTCCCCACTCTATTCAATGCTTGGAAAAGGGTATTGGTTTGACACATACTTTCACCGAGTTCATTGTTAATTATTTTTGAATGCTGGTATTTTGGTACTGTACACCCCATATTTTTCCTTAATTTCCTTAATTTTTCCTTAAATCCACCAGGTTATCTCTTAATTATTAAGATTAAAACATTAAAGTAGAACTGAAGCCAAAACATTTTGCTTTGCTTTGGATAGAGTTAAAGAGGATTTTTAACTTTTGTCAGCTTTTTTGCCATATGTGTCCCATTGGAGAGATTTCCCTTAATTTCCTGTCTGATAGCCAAAACAGGAACTGATAGGAAATCTCTCCAAAGTGAAGGAATCCTTGGTGGTCAGTAGGGTCACCAGAACTAGTGTCCCCATTGGGAAATTTCCCATCTATTCCTGTTTTCACGGCAAACCATTTGGGATTTTCTTTCATTTTCACTGATAACGGTCACCAGGACAAATAGAGAGGGTGAATCTCCCTAAAGCAGCCACAGACAGCATTATAAACTTGACAGGTGTTGTAATCCCTCTCCACTCTATCCAAAAGTGAAAATAAAAAAAAGTTTTGGCTTTAGTTGCACTTGAAAGAAGAACTATGGGCAATTGTTTTTATTAACCCTCGCAGTGGAGCTACCCAGAACTGCAAGGGTTAACTGCTTGTTTTGGTCTAGGGCTGAAAATAACAAAGTTATACTCACCTGATCCTCTGAACCAGTCCCTGGGGCATCTCTCCTACTCCGCTGCAACAATCTAAGGTCCCGTAAATCATCACGTTCTATACACTGTGCATTAGACGTGAGGATGCCATTGCTGCAGCGTAGGAAGAGACAGACTTCAGGGACCACTGTCACAGCCAGCTGGCTCAGAGGATCAAGTGAGTATATATTTTCTATTTTCAGCCCTAGACCAAAACAAGCAGTTAACCCTTTGAGTGCCGGGGTAGCCCCACTGCAAGGGTTAATTATAAAAAACTTACCAAGAGTTCTTTTTGAAATGTGTTTGCTCTTCATTAGCTTTTACAAGTATACATGTCCCAGAAATGACACCTAGTTTGTCAAAGAGATAATACTGTATAATGAGACATGTCCTGGATGGCTCCATTCTGCCTCCCGCTGGCCCGCGGATGTTGTGTCAGCCGCTCGCTGCCATGCGCTCTTGTTTTGTTACTTACTTTTAGAGATCTCAAAAGACTCAAACTTCACAGGCTGAATGTAGTTCACCAGGTTAGACATTTCCTCTGTGGCGCTGGCTTCATTTCCTGCTGTGCCCTATAATTACAAAGGAGTCATTTAGCCTTATTCAGTCAGGCAGTGTGAACAGCAGTGATGATGTGCAAAGTGCAGCCACACAAAGCCAGCCAGAATTCGGATTGCTCTTGACAGGTCAATGAAATATGGCTGCTATTTGTAATCTTATTGTAAATACATGCTGCTCTTTCCTTTCTTGGATACTAGCTAACGTCGACCTATTTGCTGAACCAAAGTCATTTATGAAGTATTCTTTCCACTTGTCAAGAGCACCTGTAGTGCTGTAGAAAATGATATGATGCTAAGGAGTCATGTAGGTATGGTAGACATTGCTCTTTTTTAAGGATTTAGAGTATTTTGGATGGGTAGTATTAAAGAAACTCTTCACATTGCCCACATCATGAAAAGTAACATGGTCAATTAACTTCTTCCCTACCCTGCAGCAAATGCTCACCATCGCTGCTTCATTCAGCTCTTGGAAATGAGACAAGAAAGCCCAGAATGAGCTCTACATCAACATGTTGGAGCTTGCACAGAGATGATCCAAGGCTGTCAAATGGAGGAGTGATTCACATGTTCCTTTATACCTGGAAGTACCAAGGAGTTCTCTTTACTCCTGGCAGCTGTACAGGAAATCTGGAGCATATGGTGACTATCAGTTGCTGGGGAGGGGTAGTTAAGTTACCCTGTTACTTTGCCCTGCATGGGAAAGTAAAGTGTCGCAGAAGGCTAGGCTCTCGTGCAAGTTAAGCCCATGGAATATTTTGAGCTGACATAAGTACTCAACCACTGATAGCTGTACCCCAAAGGGCACTTCCATTAGGTCAATGCAGTACTTCTTCCTAAATTAAATTTAGCATATAAGTATGGTATTATAGTAAACTGTAAATCATACAAAAGGGATCCAATAAAATCTTAATGGTTATAAAATTTAAACCACACCGGGGTTGGCATTTAGCCAACACTGGATTTTATAATAGGGTGAAAACTTAAACAAATCTAAAGTGAGAGAGGTGTGGTACTACAACATCTAGGGATAAAACTAATCCCTCCAATTAGGAAAAGGCCACAAGGGATCCCTCCTATCTGCACAGCCCTTAGCGGATAGATTATGGAGTCCGCCACTTAGAAAGAAAGTGGAGCAATTCGGGTTTCCTTCAGTTTAATGCAGGTGCAAGTATTATAAGGCTAAACATGCAGCCAATCACCATTTCATGTGAAGACTACACTTTTTCAACATATCAGTCATTGGCCACATGTTTTAGCCTTGTGATGATTGCACATGCAAAAGACGACCACAACACTTCCTCCCTTTTGTTACATAGTTTAATAAAATAGAGACTTAATGCCCTAACAAAATCCAAGGCTTCATATTCCCTGGTTGGAGCAGACAGGCTATCTGGCTGGGGGTTCTGTACCACAGATTATGCTCCCTGCAAAAGTAAACCCAGGTATCAGATTAGGTGTTTCAGATATCCATACAGCTGCCACTTTGCCACAGTGGCGACTTTACATGTAATGCAAATTATTCTTTCTTTTTTTAAAGGGACTGTACACTGTTTTTCTATACATATATTTTATTTATGTATTATTTTCGGATTTAGAAAAAATATATTTTTTTACATCTTCTTTAGTCAAAACAAATACAAAATAAAAATCTTTTCAGGTACAATTTAATGTCATATCTCATCATGGCCACTAGAAGAAGCTGAGGAGCAAATGAAATAAGTATTTATTTCCTATGCTATTAAATGTGGTATTACATTCAATTACACTAAATTTATACTAACAACATACATTTTTGCCTTTATTCATACAGGGCGAACGTTCACCGAGATCCGCAGATTCTGCAAATTACTTATAAAATGACCCCATAATGTCAGTTTAGCTGGGTTTTTTTTCTATTTGATCCCTAAGGTAACCCTAAATCTTATTAACTCATTCCTTTCTTTCACTATTTATTATTTTTACATTTATATTATATATAAAATAACTGATTAGGAAACATTTTTCAATTCAGCTTACTTTCCAGTTCAGCTATTTTGGCCTAGATTGTTCACTTCTCCTGCCTTCTCCAAACTTTTCACCTTTTTGTGAATAACCCCCATAATATTAATGACCCCGTATAGAGATCCCAATCTAAAATAATCAGTAATTGTCCTAGATTGGGATCTCTATATGGGGTAATTAACATTATATGTAAAGTGCTGCACAAACTTTTGGCGCTAAATAAATCCTGTAAAATAATAATGTGAGATTTATATATATCATATAACCCACTTATATCCAGAACCACTGTTCTGGATAGAGAACTGGCATTCCAGGAACAAGGAATTATTTGTATGGTTCCACCCACTCTCCAAAAATAAGGAATTATATCAATTTTTTCTAGATTTGTGGATCTTCTGTGCTTTAGAGCATTCTTAATTTAAATAATTAAGCAAGAGTATTTTAAGGTTTTAACCACTAGATGTCAGTGTGTTACTGATCTTACACATTACACAAAGCATGTAGGGGAACCAATCTGCTAGATATAACATAACCCTCTAAATCGGTGCTGGGCAGCATACTTTGAATTAGGGATGTCCCGATACCGATGCTAGCATCGGAATCGGGCCCGATACTGGGCATGGCTGCTTGGCGCAGGAAGTGACAGTGCTGCGCTAGGGGGAGGCTGAGGAGCCTCTTACCTGGAAAAGTGGAAATAACGCGGCAACACACTGAGCATGAGTTCTTACCTAGGGATTCAATAAACTCTTGCTAAGCTGGACTCCAAAGGCTCCCCTTTAAGTTATGGGATTTAATAACATCTACTGTATATAAGTTATTAGTGAAACTGATAGCAAATAGCAAATATTCAAAATGCGTATGCTAGATAGGTCAATGAAACATGTACTTTTGCTCTGATATTATATCGATGGGCACTTAACCTTAAAAGAGAACTATGGGGTAAGTGTTTTTCCCCATAGTTCTCTTAAGAGTCACAGGAGGACATATACTAGCGTCCTCCCATGACCCAAAGCTCGGCTCAGTATATCACAAGCTACAGCTCACGGTATACTGAGACCGCTGCAGCCGGGACGGATCCCGACAATACTGTTGAGATCCACCTAGCTTCGTGAATGACAGCTGTACCCTGTAACAGTTTCATTGTCACACGTCGGCTCGAACTATGAGGATGAGTGATTTTCACTCACCTCATAGTTCTCCTTTAATGAGAATATAATCTCTTATCTCTAACTTTTCTTACCCTGTGCTTTGAGTGCTGTCATCACAGACCCAATGTAGTGTAAACATTACATTTTTTATATTCAGTTGGTCTGCAGTGATCATCATTACAGTGTGGAGAGCAGCAGGCTTACAAAAAAGGACTAAGAACATGAAAACAGGCATCAGAGATCCCTCTAAAATCTGGATGTTCATGCTGCTTTCAGCTGAACTCAAGCAAAGGCTTCAGTTACTGATCCACTCTGATTCATTAATTCAGATTCTCCTGGAAAAATCTACATTTCTGAGCTCCTGGCTAAAAAAATAAAAATAAATGTAAACATATGCCTCTCCTGTCCTTAGTCGTGGTCTGCTAAAACAGTGCAAACACTGACAATCTGAAAGTAAACAATACAATGTTTATACATACCTCTGTAATTACAGCTTTATCACATGTAAAGAAAAAGCAGTGGTCATAGGTTATACTGTAAAAGTTGCTTAGTTTCCAAATATATAATAGAAGGAAAGGTGTAGGGTTTGCAGGCCTTCAAATTGATCTTGTAAACAATCAAATATGGGCACGAACATCCAAAACAGAAACAAAGCTATCAACTATGGTGTCATGAGCTGGACATTATAATAGATAAGAATAATTGTATTACAAAGAGTCTTACTTCCTCCATGGAAGATTTCTTACAGTCATCATCATCGTCCTCATCATCTTCATCACTTTCAATGTCAGCTTCACCTGAAAAACATCAAACCGTCAAAAATTATAGGCACACCCTTCTGTCAGATTATTGTAGTGTCTGTTGCTGGTTACTCAGGAGTCAGTATAATTTGTTTTAAGATAGATAAGGCAAAAAGTTACAAGGGACGTCCAGTGATTTTTATTGACCAGTGAGAAATCATCTTCTTCTGGGTCTGATTGAAATTTGATTGGTTGCTATGGTCTTCCATACTATGCTCATTATCTGTGCTTTTTGCTCTTTTAATTAAAACTCCCAACATCATGACCTCACGATTCTGGCCTGCTCAGCAAAGATAGCGTGACCAAATGACTACAAGGAACCACAGCCACAGGAGATGCAAAATGTAGTGAGTTTAAATAGCGTAAAACAGCAGTATTCATACAGTATATGCTTACGTAAGGTACACACGGTTCAAATTTAGGCTGAGGCCTGATTAGGCCTCAATCAGCTGATCGAAAGAGCCGGTTGGTAAATTCTTGGCCAAACAGAGCTAGCAACCAATAAGCTGTTAGCTTTTAGCTTTGTTTGGGTATTGTTAGCTTTATTTGGGTATTCTGACAGCGGCTGTTGGCCGCTGTTAGCATACAAAGCAAACAGCAGGGAATTTGTCAATCAATGCTTGTAAGCACCGATGGGGGAATCTGTTCTATTTTTTTTTTTTTGTTCAGCCTGCAGGTTGAACAAAAAAAAATAGAACCATGTATACCCCACTTTACTCATAAGGCATCTTTGAAGTGGCTCTGTCTCTGAAATTCAGTGTTCGGAAAAGGATGTTTCTGAAAAGAAGATAGTAAATATGTACCTCTGCATCTGCCCATGCTGCTGATGCCGCTGTAATGAAAAGAGACTGGCAGCTGAAGTGTTTCTATGCCTTTTATGTCGATCTCCTGCTCCCCTTTGCATTCAGTGATTACTCCTGCAGACCCTACTTCACTACAGGACACAGTAGTGATGTTGGGGGTGGTGGTAGAATCCACTAAAAGCAGCAGTGGGGGCCAGGAGATCAACAGTCCAGGAAAGACTTAAGGTGAGAATTTCTTTTCATTTACAGCAGTGTCCGCTGATGCAGGCAGCGGCAGAGGAAGTATTTACTTTTTTTGTTTGCAGGGAACTCTTTTACCGGTGCTTTAATTAATATATACCTGATATATCTAAAAGGCATAGAAATACTTGTAATTCCAGTCTATATTTTCAGGCCTGCCTTTCAGAACACCATAGTTCAGCGAAGCCCATTTGTCGCCAGTGTTTACATTAACTCCGTCAAATAAAAATGACTAAAGACAAGCAAGAGCCGCTTTGGCAAAAAGATGTTACAGGTCCCGAGCCAGAAAAGTAACACGTAAGATGTATTCAATCCTTGAGAGCAATAAGTCTAATCTATAAATCATATCTAGATGTGTTTATCTGGTTCTAAGTTTAGTATTCACGTTGACAGGCAATTCTGACAAGATGTGAACATATTTTGTCATAACCCTTAAGCAGCAAAAAGGTAAAAGTAGACAATATTGCTAGTAGAGTAACACAAGACAGCTATAAAATAACAGACTATTGTACTGTTATGGAGGTTTTACATCACATATTCCCAAAGACCAAATAATCCCTACAACAAACCATGCAAGGACCTTCTTAGAGCCTGGGAAGCTTTCTATTCTTAGGCCAAATAAATTGAGAATTTTTTTAATCTTTAAAAGTAAATGCTAGTCTGAACAGTCAGCGCGTAAACACGGAGCAGATGCAAAGAATTTAAAGTGTATCCCTAGCCAAATATTATAATCGATAGAGTAAACTCCTGTCAGATTTTTTTCTTCCGGTCTGTGTCCTGCTGAGAGCTTTTCTTTCACTTCCTGTTACAGAGACAATACAGGAAGTGATAAGAAAATGCCCCAAGGCTGAGGAGAGATCCTCCAAAACTGAAAAAAGTTTGGCTTTAGATACACTTTATAAATAGGGTACAAGAGGTAATTTAATCTATGTGTGCTAATTTTAAAAAATAACTTTGTTTTTAGTTTGTAATTGTATTTGGACATAGGGACAGCTGTACCAGCTCATTACATAGTCAGGCTCTGCTTCCTGCTATACAGTGCCTCTAGTTATGCATTACTGCTCCTAATTACATCACAAGGCTCTCAGGCCAGGTTTACGCCTTGGCGATCTGTGACGGTCACGGAACTGCACACCACCGCCAATCACGCTGATGGTGCCATTATTTTCTAATGGCACCCCAATCGCCCCAGGCAGATTGTGCGGTTCCCCACCGCGATACCGCCCACACATGATCGCGGTTTAAAAAAAGTGCGGTGCGTGTCGCCAATAGAGGTACATGTAAATGATCCATCTTTTTTTGAATAATGAATCCAGATCAAACAAATATACATTGCCCAGCAAACATTTTCCTTAAATGTTTGTCCAAGCAGTTACAGTCATCATGGTTCCAAACAGCTCCAACTCTCTCAGCTCAGCTTCTCTGAACTCCCTACCTATCTAAAATCACATAGGGACATGCAGCTGTCCAACTAATATCTTGGAGGAGGGAGTAGGGCTAAGGGAGGAGTAAAGGGAGAAAAGGGGAGATAAGTGGTTTGCCTTGCTGTATCTGTGTGTTTGTGGAGATCCCACAAGGGAAAGGAGAAATCGGGATCAGCTGATTCTGCAGGGGACTAAAACTTTGAAACATCAAGGAGCAGCATTCATTGTAAGTGATTTCATTAGCATTTGAAATAGCTTAAAAACATGTGTACTTAAAGTAATTAAAGTAAAATTGAATGTAAGTTTACAAAAAACTTAACGTACCACTATTTAAATTACTATCAAGTACACTAAAAAGAGAATAAACACAAATACAAAGAAAACTAAGAGTAATACAATGAAATGAATGAACCTAACTGTAAACTAAACTCTTAAGAAATAAAAAGAATAGATAGTTTTCAAGAAAATTTTGCAGCTCAACTACCAAAATTGAGTTTTTATTTTGGTAAAATTCAGCAGATGGCAAAACTGTTACTTTCATAGTGTAATTAATTTGGCCGAGATCACTCTGCTCATCTCTACTGCCTCTAAGTCAAAGTATCTAAGATCGTCTTTCCAAATAAGTCTCAAAAGATCAAAGAACGTTGTTCTTTCTATATGGAGATAGAAATCTAGTATGAAGTATAAATGCTTTTTTTCCACAAAATGTTTTGTTCTTGACCAAGCTGTGCTGCTGCTGCAATGGACATCCTGGAATTGGCTGAGCTGTCTGGCAAATTTGGATGGATCACAAGACTAAATTGGTGGGTAAAAAAGTTACGATATATTTACATTTATTGCAGTGTATTTAATGTGCACGTTACTAAAAAAAAGTTCTGCATATTCTACTGCTATTTACTATTTAAATTAAATGTACAGATTGATGGGACGTCCAAACTTTTTTTTTTTTTTTCTCAAATGGATATTTATTGAGTTTAACAGAGAAAACAGTCACAGACATGTTACAATATGAACAGATACCTGTGGGAACCAGGTCACTCACATTCAACACATGGTGCATGAAACGCATCACAGTAGTAGAGGTACGCAACTTTAGCCCTGAGAGCGAGGTTACAATGTAGGACCTTTTAGCCATAGTATACAATCAATAAAGCTACTGTCAAAAGTCGAACCTTGAAGGACCCCAGCCTATGGGGTTCACGTCGTAACACATTAGGACCTTATACTGAGTGGTGTAGGGGGACGTCCAAACGTTTACAGTTGTCGCCAGAACAGGAGGGGAGGGGAAATCTTCCAATGGTGACACACATTCTCATGACACCTGTGCTAGAAGAGAATCCCTCTCATTTTGTAGAGATTACCTCTCACTTCCTGTTGCATCTCCGGGACAGAAAGGTAAGAGTAATCTTCTACACAATAGTATGGACATACATCAAAAAGTAAAGTGACATGCATTTTTAACCCTTGCCTACCCTATCCAAACCTGGAAAAGAATAGCTATGAATAAACTTTAAAAATACTTTAACCATATTTTCATGGCTAAATTAAATAGCTGTACTTTCTTCTTGCCTACATTACACTTTCTCCTAAATAGTTATCCACTGCTGTCATTTTAAAAAAAAAATGCAAATGGCTTGCTATTGCAAAGCTGGGGGCTTTCATGGCAGACTTTTTACTGAACCATAGGTTGTATCTGAAGTGAGCACAACAATCTCCGAAACAAAACACAAGCAGTTAGAAAGTGCCCTTTGTAAAACATACATGTAATTATAAAATACAGCCACAAGAGGGAGATATCTGCTAGCTTTTGTCAAAGCAGAGTAACATTCCCATTCAATCAAGACTATCAGTAGAATACAAAGAATACTATCAATAAAATACAAATTAGAAGAATACAAAAATAAATGAACTATTACTAGAGGATCTTCATGTGTTTAGGATGGCAGAGCTCAGGATACAATCTTTACCTTGGTGCATGCTGATTTTTTTTCTTTATGGTGTCTCCTGGTGTAGATAAAGGTAGACAAATATGCTGTGCCGTAAGCATAAAGCTACTACTATATGGGCATTTGCCTTGGGTGGCACTTTCCGGGGGGGGCAGAAAACCAGTGAGGCAGAGCCCCACCTGCCATTAAGCCCACTTGAGACCCCACACAGCCCACCTGAGACCCCGCACAGCCTTCCGAGAACCCACTCAGCCCACCTGAGATCCCGTACAGCCCTAATGAGACCCTGCACAGCCCACCTGAGAGCCTGCACAGCTTACCTGAAACCCTGCACAGCCCACCTGAGATCCCGTACAGCCTCCTGGAAGTCCACACAGCCTCCTGAGAGCCCAAACAGCCCACCCGGGCCTCCGCCCAGCAGGCCCGGGTGTTCCTAAGAATATGTGGGACAAACCTGTTGGCTCTAACTAGCGATGCGCCCAGGTTCGGTCCAAACTTGAGTTCAATCGAACCCAACAGGAAGCTGTCAATGCTGGCCCAATCAGTTGTTCCCCACATCAGCACGTGAACAAAGGGGTGGAATG